TCGCCCCTCACTCCTCGCCGGGGAAACTAGGCGCGGCAACCCCTGAAGGTATAGTTGCCGAAGACGACCGACGTAAAGAGCCTCCAAGAACGACGGAGCGCTCCCACAATCCCGACGCCACGCATCACAACGACGCTCCTGCATCGGTGTCCAACAACCTGAACGTTATGATCGACGGCCTCGATGCATCGGCACTCGTGGACACCGGAGCAGACTACTCAGTCTTGAGTGGGAGGCTCTCTCGCCGCCTGCGAAAAGTCATGACGCCGTGGGATGGACCCCAAATACGAACCGCCGGAGGACATCTCATCACGGCAGTCGGGAGATGCACTGCTCGCGTCGAGATCCACGGTGAAACGTGCCCTGTGAAGTTCGTCGTTCTGCAAGACTGTTCGAGGGACGTTATCCTCGGAATGGACTTTCTCTGCGAGTATGGCGCCGTCATCGACCTCGGGGCAAACCAGTTGACGCTGCGGAAACCTGTTTTACCGCCGGTGGAGACCAACACAACATCAACCGCGATCCGAGTTATCGCCGACCATGTGAACCTACCGCCGCGGTCGAGTGTTTTCGTCACCGTTATGGCCGACGTCGCCATGCACGGCGAAGCTCTTCTGGAAGGCAGCGTCCAACTGCTCCTCGAAAAAGGAATTGGCGTCGCAAGAGGCGTAACGGATCTCCAAGAAAGACGTACAACTGTTCTTGTGACGAACTTTCGAGAGGAGCCGCAGCACCTAACGAAGGGTACCACCGTGGGCCACGTCGAGGAGCTTCAAGCGCCAGCGGTGGTCACCGCAATCTCCGAGGAAACCTCGTCGCCACAGCAGAAAAGCACGACGCCGCCGCCGCTCGACATTGACCCCGAGCTCCCAGCTACGAAGCGCCGGCAACTGATTGATCTCCTTGCCGAATACAGTGACTGTTTTGCCACGACATCAAAGATTCGCCAAACACCAATGGCGAAACATCGCATTGTTACCGACGACGACGCACTTCCTGTCCACCAGTCGCCGTATCGGGTCTCCTTAAAGGAAAGGAAAGTGATTCAAGATCAAGTCCAGGAGATGCTCGACGACGACATCATTCAACCCTCAAGGAGCCCATGGGCGTCCCCAGTCGTCCTTGTAAAGAAGAAGGACGGAACCCTGCGGTTCTGCGTGGACTATCGTCGACTGAACGCCGTGACAAAGAAGGACGTCTATCCGCTCCCCCGCATCGATGATACGTTAGACCGACTGCGCCACTCCCGATATTTTTCGTCGATGGACCTGAAGAGTGGTTATTGGCAGATTGAAGTCGACGAACGTGACCGGGAGAAAACTGCCTTCGTCACTCCCGACGGACTATACGAATTCAAAGTGATGCCGTTCGGACTTTGTACAGCACCAGCCACCTTCCAGCGCGTCATGGACACCGTGCTGGCAGGTCTGAAATGGCAGAGCTGCCTTGTCTACCTGGACGATGTCGTGGTATTCTCACGAGATTTCGACGAACACCTCAGACGACTTCGAGCCGTGCTTCAAGCCATCAAAACCGCCGGCCTGTCACTCAAGCCAACAAAGTGTCGGTTCGCCTATGGGGAACTAAAGTTCCTTGGCCACGTCGTGAACAACAAGGGTGTTCTACCTGACCCCGAGAAGACCCGCGCCGTAGCTGCATTTACGCCGCCGTCTGACAAGAAGGCCGTGAGAAGATTTCTCGGACTCTGTGCCTACTACAGGCGCTTTGTTCGAGACTTCGCCAAGCTATCCGCACCGCTGACACACCTCACGAAGGACGCCGTAAAGTTCGAGTGGACAGAAGAACACCAGAGGTCATTCGACGAGCTCAAACGAAGACTCCAGACGCCCCCGATTCTCGGCCATTTCGACCAGTTTGCTGAAACCGAGATCCACACCGACGCCAGTAACACCGGACTGGGTGCGGTACTAGTCCAAGTGCAGGACGGAGTCGAGCGAGTTATCGCATACGCAAGTCGGACGCTGTCTAAAGCGGAGAGGAACTATTCAACGACCGAAAAGGAGTGCCTCGCTGTCGTATGGGCAATAACAAAGTTTCGCCCATATTTGTATGGGAGTTCTTTTCGCGCAGTCACAGACCACCACTCGCTCTGCTGGCTGGCGAATCTGAAGGACCCCTCCGGACGCCTCGCTCGGTGGAGCCTACGACTGCAGGAGTTCGACATGGCTGTGGTGTACAAGTCCGGCCGGAAGCACAATGACGCCGACTGCCTGTCAAGGGCCCCAGTCGAGGCCGGTCCTGCCTGCACCAAAGAGGACGACGATGAGTGTTTCCTCGGCGCTCTGGATGTAAGCGACATGGCAGCACTCCAACGAGACGACCCTGAGCTGCGAGCACTCATCGAACACCTAGAGGGGCAAGGAAGCGCCGTTCCCCGCGGTTTTGTTCGAACACTGCCAACCTTCTCCATCCGACAAGGCGTACTGTACAAGGAGAACTTCAGCGACAGCAACACGGCGTGGCTGTTGGTAATCCCTTCCAGTCTTCGAGAAGAAATTTTTCAAGCCTGCCACGATGACCCGACGGCGGGACACCTTGGTTACAGCAGGACTCTTGCGAGGATACGCGAAAAGTACTACTGGCCCAAGCTTGCGAAGACAGTACACCACTACACCCGATCTTGCCACGAGTGTCAACGAAGGAAGAAGCCACCGACGAGACCGGCAGGACTTCTTCAGCCTATTGCGCCGCCATCTGCCCCATTCCAGCAAATCGGTATGGATTTACTCGGACCTTTCCCACCGTCGACGCAAGGAAACCGATGGATAATCGTCGCAACCGATTATCTCACGCGGTACGCCGAGACAAAAGCCCTTCCATCAGGAACGGCTGTTGAAGTCGCCAAGTTTTTCATCGAGTCCATTGTCCTCCGGCACGGCGCTCCCGAAGTCCTGATCTCAGACCGTGCATCATCATTCATGGCCCAGCTGACGCAAGAAGTCCTTCGTCTCAGCCACACCAGCCATCGTCGCACCACGGCGTACCACCCGCAGACCAAAGGGCTGACGGAGAGACTCAACAAAACCATCGCCGACATGATCTCCATGTACGTCGACGTGGAGCACAAGACATGGGACGAGGTGTTGCCGTACGTCACATTTGCCTACAACACGGCCGTACAAGAGACCACCGGAGTGACACCCTTTCAACTGGTGCATGGGCGCAAAGTAACGACCATGCTGGACGCGATGCTGCCCCATGAGCCAGCTGACAGTGAGAGCGACGACGCCCAGGTGGTTGCTCAACGGGCCGAAGAAGTCCGCCAGCTCGCCCGACTCAGGATTCAAGACCAGCAACGCGCCGACGCGGGCCGCTACAACCTTCGTCGCAGGGACGTTCACTTCCAGCCCGGAGACAGGGTGTGGGTTTGGACGCCCATCCGTCACCGCGGCCTCAGTGAGAAACTGCTGAAACGGTACTTTGGACCATACAAGGTACTTCGTCGCCTCGGCGAGCTGAACTACGAGGTGATGCCCGACGGAACACGAACATCGTCACGCCGCCCACCACGACCTGAGGTCGTCCACGTCGTGCGCCTGAAGCCGTACTACGCTCGATAGGACTGTTGACCTTATGTGCATGCTCCAAAAGACTCTTGAGTTTATCGTTCTTTTTTATTTTGTTTTGTTTTACACTGCATCGGGGCGATGCACTTTTAAAGGGGGGAGTAATGCCGCGCGCAGGGCTGAGAAAGCAACGCTCGGTCTCGGACCTCCAGAAAGTTCCCGTTTATTCATGTAGCGCACGCACGTAACTTCTATTATTTATATCCATGTATCTTCTGCTTTTGTTTTCTAGAAACTGCGTGTTCATTCTCGCCCCGATCACGCGAAGCTCGAGCCGCTTTCGCCGAATCTTCGAGATAGCGACGTACTCTAGATAAGAGGCCGCCCGCGACCTTGTCGAGTCAGTCTCGCCTCAGCGTTTGATCGTGCTGCTTCGCCGCCTTCGACGCCCGCGACGCTCTGTTGTTATCTTTCTTTTGTACCCTTTTATTTTTGGCACAAGTTCGCCACATTAAACGTTTATTTATTCCTGTTTATTTCTTGATTATTAGTCACCACCCGTGACAATATGGAGGCAGGGCCATCTATCAATACGAACGCCAAACACGCCCCGGAACACAATGTGGTCGTCTGCGTCGCCGCCCGCCGTTGGCTTTGGCAAGTTTCTTGGCTTTTCAGTTTTACAAGAAAAAAATCCACCTGTAAAATAAACTTTAGATTACTGTGTGCAGGCGTCGATTTTTACGGTCCGTTTTAAACTGAGCCTGGTGACTTGGGACACCCTACATATAGTCCCTGACGGTTTAAGAAACACCGGGCGTCACTGATAACATTCACTCTTCTCGCTTCGTGATGCATTCTTGGCCTCTGTTTTCAGCAAATGCCGAGATCTAATTGGTTTCGGAGCAATAATAAAACTATTGGGTCCTGCCACGCGCTGTCTTATTTAGGACGTCAGTGTCCATAGTTAACCACGTTATATCTCCTTTCCTTGTTTCTGATAATAATCACCCCACGGCAGTGCAAGCTAGAAAGTGATAAAAAGTAGACGATTGGCTTGATCTGGAGTACGTCTACGGCATAGTTAACTGTTTTTCTTTCTTAATATTCTCGGGTTAATGTTGAGTTTATTCGAACGACGGTGTACGGCAAAGTGGAACTTTTTCGTTTCTGTTACCTCAAGGCTGTTTCAAGCGTTTGTGCCAGGTGCAACCACAAAAACCAAAGTGACTAGGGCATCGAAACAAGCATTGCTTTCCGAAGCTCCTCTGGAATTTTTGCTCCGTTGCGAATTACGAACACTTGTCTCCCATGTAACCGCAGCCTCTGTGAACAATGCTTTTTTTTCCCTTATGAGAATCTTGTCAAAAACGTCAGCTATGATCCGGTACAGCTGTATTGTAAAATAACAAAAAAAATAGAAACCTATTTTATCACATACGCAGTGCTCAGTCAGTCTCAGAAGAGGAGTGAATGCTGATAGAATACGTTGTAATGGGGCTCCAGAACGCATTGTTGTTCGCATGTCTCGCCACGGCTGAGGTCTGGGCACTGTACAAGGAATGGACGCCGAGCTTTCACTGGGAGGAGAAAATGACAATGAAAAACCCGGAAAACAACCCTACCTTCAACTACCCAGAGCTTGGGTCTCTGCAAGATGCATGGAAGGTATGTGATTAAGATAATAGGGGATGGAGAATGAAATTCAGTGTGTTTTTGAGGCTTTACGAGATTTGGTTTAAAAATACACGAAAGCTATACTTATCCGGACTGTGCAGGTGAGCTACACGGTCAGAGAGACATTTTATGAATAAATAAACATCAAGACCAATGAGTTAATTAGCTCAAATGTGTTAATGAACTTTTTAATGATTAAAGGTAAAGATATGAGTCCAGTCAGAAATTAGCTGAGTGTCATTGAAAACTTCTGAATCAGTAAATACGCGTGGAGCGTGTATGAAGCTCGATATCGCGCTAAAGTTACAATTATATCATCTGCAGCTTTTCTCCAGGTGACATACGCCATAAGAGGTGAAGCCGGGGGAGACTTCAGGTATAGAGAGACACGCCTCCAACGATGACCAAAACCAAAAGACGCTATTAGACGAAACGCACACCTGATTCGGTGTCAGCAGCGGCTTCGGTGCGGTTTTGGTCACCCTTAGGGGCGTTCCACCGACCACGTCCTCCACTTCCGGCTTCACACCGGCTTTTCTCATTTGGCTAGCTTGTGTCCCTGTGTTGCCTCTTCTTCTTCCTACCTCCATGTTTTCGATAGAAATGCAGTGTTTTATTGAAGACTGGGTAGTGTTGGGACCGGAGACGCTCGTGTGAGGCGCGTGGTGTAGATCGTGACAGGTGTCGACACCGGTGCATTGGTAGTGAGCTCAACGGGGTGGTGGTTGGGCACTTGCTCCTCGATAGCCTCTTTTATACTGACAAAGCCTGGCAGATGGCCACGATAAGCTGCCGCCGAAATGGAAAAGGTAGAGCGGCAGACAACAGATGAGAGGAGAGCCACGTGACTTGCTCCCCGCTGCCGCGAGAAGCCCAAACACACTTCTCCCGAGTGAAAAAAAGAGTGTTTCGGGTCCTCCCCGCTACAAAAGCTGTGCGCTGACATTCGGGTTCCCCGAGAAACGGCTCTTCGATGCTCTATGCTACGAGATCCCCCGCTCCAAATCGGCGAAGGGCACTCCATGACTTTGTCCTCGAACCGCCAGGCTTTGTGAGTATTACCGGCGAGATGCTTGGGTGGCGCCCTCCCTGGTTACCTCTCGTGACGTCATTACTTTCTGAACCAGAAGTTTGATGGTGCTTGTATTTAGGATGGTGGAAGCTAGAAACCAATACGCTTTTAAACGAACACTAACAATACCGTCAAAATCGAAGTACTTACATTACTCTTATTTCTGTCGACGAGAAATCCTTTGCTGACGTTGAAGACAGCATTCGGCCAATCGTGGAAGGCCGACCACTGCGACGCTTTCGATCGGTCACGTCGCCAATAGGGGAGGCTACGCTACATGCTCGCGCGCACGTGCGGCGGCATGTGCGGGCTTCAGCGACTTTCTGCTCTCGACTCCAGCGTCGTGATTGTTGTCTATACGCGCAGCCTCACGAGCTGCCACTGCCTAGCCGCGCCGGTCCAAACACTACCCCGCATTCTAGTACACTGTAGTAAAACGACCTCATTAAGCGTTCCCCGCGTGCGTGACGTCGCCATAACTGTAGTTCACAGGAGGCAAGCGCCAGTTGACGAGACAGCTCGTGCCGCCTCGTGCTCTGCTCGCGCAGACCCTAGGCGCGGTTGTTGCGCGTGCAGAAAGACACTAGGCGCATTCGATTTACTTGAACCTTTCGCACCTGTGCAGAAAAGTATAGCGCGGTGTACTTCCGGTATGAATATTGCGATACGACCGGAAGCACACCGCCCTACACTTTTCTGCACCAGTGCAGGAGGCAAAGTGTCGACCCGGAAGCGAACCGAACCGAAAACGGGAACCGAACCGAACCGTTACTTTTAGCCGAACCGGAACTGAACCGAACCGAAATTTCCGCCGCCATCTTGGAACTGAACCGTAACCAAACCGGTATTGAACCGAAAAATTATGATAGTAACCAATACAAAACGGTTCACTGTAATTTTTTTTTTGTATTACAAAATGAATGTTTTTTTTTTTTTTTAATCGAAATTGGCAGCTGTATTTCTACAGTATGATTCAAGGAGACGCCAGACTCTTTAAATCGACCGCAAAATTCGGTTTCTTAACCTATCGCGCTACGACTTTGTGCAGCGTTGCCCACAGATGGTGCATCTTTTTTTTGTTAAGTTTGCAAACAACGAACTTACCTGAGGAAAAAGTAAAGAAAGAAAAAGGCTTAGCTCCTATGAAAACGCAGCGACGCAACCGGTCTTCAAACAACACGGCGCCGTTTTGCACGGGAGACAAGAAATGGCGCAACGAACGCCGCCAACGAACAAGCATTCGCCGCTGAGAGCCGGCGTCTTTAGCAGACGAACTTTCTGACTCAAAAGCTGCGCGCGTTCCGCAGGCGGCGACAGTCGCAGAAACAAAAAAAGGCGCGGTAACAACAAGGAACTGCAGTTCCTTGTCTGCTAAATACTCCGGCTCTCGGCGTCGTATGCTCGTTCGTTGGCGGCAGTTGGCGTCGCGACCGCTTGCGCCATCTCTTGTCTCCCGTGCGAAACGGTGCCGTGTTGTTTGAAGACCGATGGCGTCGCTGGGTTTCCATAGGAGCTAAGCCTTTATCTTTCTTTGATTTTTCCTCAGGTAAGTTAGCTCTTAAAAATTGCACAAAAAAATGCACCATCTGTGGGCAACGCTGCACAAAGTCGTAGCCGGATAGGTTAAAGGGGCACTCAAGTGGATTCTGAGATCGTCTATTTATTGTCATAACTCAATCTGCGGGCTCTAAGCATCCTAGAAATCCCAAAATTACATTCAAGGGCGGCCGATTTCCCTATTAAAAATCCAATCAAAGATCGCTGTTCTGCGCCTAGGCGCACGCCGTCAGGGGCGCTGTCGGACGGGAAGGCAGCAGGGAAGGGCGTGCGCCATCCAATCACGAGTGACGGCTTCCCGGCGGATTGATCCTTCGAACCGGCGGAGTGATCTTCTGAATGCGCGCGTATTTGATGGATTCTCGTTGGGACTCATTTTGTTTACTTCGGGTGTTGAGTCGTGCGGAGATGGACCTGCCAAATCTAACACCGTTGGAGGTGGAAATTCTTCGGCGGACGGCAGATATCAGCTCAATCTCCTACGACGCCACTCCTACGCGCGACGCCGATGCCCCGAACGCGACGGACTCGGACGACAGTTCGCGATGCTCAATGTCGACACCGGAGGAAGACGACGAAACCGACGACGCAACCCAGCGGCTTGGGAACACCAACTAGTAGGTGATGAGCTGTTTATTATACCTCTCATATGTATAGCTGATGCTGGTCTTCTGTTTTAAGGTGCCAATGCAGTTGCTGCGTGCCGATGGAAACCGTCGCAGAGTGTGTCTGCTGCCGTGACTACCCGGCCGCCGTTCGCAAGCAGCAGGGCCGGCAGAGCGGCGTGACAAGCCACCCGGATTTCGAGGGGCTGTGCCTCGATCCGGGTGTGCTACAGCTGGCCTGTAGCACACCCGGGAGTGATGTGCGTGGGCACATCACTCCCGCGTAACAAGGCGAGGAGAAAACGTAGTTCGCTCTTTTTCAAACAATAATAGCTGTATTACGTCACCTACAGCCAAAGATTTGACGTTGTTGTCAAAATATAATGTGCATGTGCCTAAAAAGAGCAATAATAATAACTTTAGCAACCTTTTCGCAGTTCGCTATTTCTATTGGTCGAATTCTATGGAGGTGGTGGAGACACGGGATGGACCCCGCAAGAGGATATAGTGCCTGTGTATTTCTATTGCTGTGAGTTTACTAGGGCGCCTTGCCATTTAGAACTGGTCATTTTTATTGACTGAAGCCCAACAAACTATATGCTTCCAAAAACAAGCTTCTCCAAAAAGCACTTGAGTGCCCCTTTAAGAAACCGAATTTTGCGGTCGATTTAAAGAGCCTGGCGTCTCCTTGAATTACCCTATAGACCAACACGCGGCCCTGACGTCACGCAGCTGCGGTGGCGCTGTCGACGGCACTGCGCATGCGCAGACACTTCGCTTCACGCGAATTTGGTTTCTGCGCAAGCGCAGTGCCCATGTGGGAAAACACGGGTTTGTTTATAAACAGCGTGTCGGTCTATACGTGGTGATCAAATTGCCATATACCGAATCGCAATGCATGAGAAAATGTGGGGTTTTTTGGCGCTTTTGTATCGTTACCATGATTAATCATGTGCCAGGTGGTCACGTGACGGCATGGTGTCAAGGCACGGTGTTTCTCACTGCCAAACAGCGAACAAAAAAAGCCCGTTTCCGCAGACTCAACATATGGCGTATTTTCGAGTGTAGTCCTCTCATGTCGGTCTCAAGTGATTATGTGAACTTCATGCAGTCAAATTTATTGATGATTATACAAATATATTTAGTGACTGAATATTTGACAACATGAATAAATGCCGATCATCTTCAAGATATGCTTGACAAGTAAACGCACCCACAAATTGTCTGAAATATGCCCTTCAAGTATTTTCCGGTGTTTTTATCCTCGATAAGCACATATATAAGTCATTTGAAAGAGCCCTAAAAAAATTTCTGAGTTTGAAGATGATATAAATACTCACGTGCTCCCAACTCATAAATGTGTTCCTGAAACATAAATGTGTTGCTGACATATGTGTCCCTGACACAAACTATGATGATTGCGGACGCAGACAGTCAGAAAGTGAGTAATTAAGTAGTGCAATGTCGAGTAGAGTATGGAATACTGCTTTTGTTTTATTTAACAAGAAATCAGGAATTTCCAAAGGTGATGGTTATTTGCAAATTGCATTGATAGGCATCTTGTCAAGAACAAACGTCAAACATCAGGATATGGCGGAAATATTCACTCGTGTAGGCGCTATTTTAGGACAGATTGGATCTGAGTATACGAAGTTGCGTATAGATTAGAGTGAACAACGTTGGACCACCCTTTTTTGGGTGATCAAAGTTTCTGAGCAAACAATGCTGGTTAGAAAAACAAACGTTGTTATTCCCACTGAATATCTTTAAAAACTTAGAATGAAATGGATTGTCCTAAAACTTTCGTGGCATTTTGAAAATAGTGTTGCTTTTAGCTCAGTCGCGCCGTTGTAATATATATTGTGAAACGTATTTCCTAAACTAGATTTCACGATATGTATGGCGAGGAGGTGCCGATTCTATGATTTTATGCACTGTAATTAATTCCTGAGTTCAAGAAAACAACTAATATTCACCTTTTAATACTGCGACGCAAAGTCGTATCAATCACGGGGATTTTAGGCGACCTACCAGACTGATGACCTTTCGATTCATGTAAAATACATGCGACTGAGGTAAACAACAAGGTGTTGAGTCATACAAACACGCTGTTTTTTAATGTTAATTTATCTTTTCTAAAACTGTTTCGTCGAAATTAAATAACTTATTGTCTTATTTTTAATGCCTGATAATTAAGGTGGATTGTATGAATAATAAAAAAAATGTATAGTTACTCGTTTCACGGTTAAAATAATGCCCATTGCCAAAACAACGCAGAAAATATATTCACAATTTTTGCTCCCCTGAACTGAGAGGAATTCAAAATGAAAGGACTATGTACTAAGTGTGCACTATAAATGGGTTGCGGAATATCTAAGCGAGATGCCTAATTTTGACCCCAAAGTGACCGTTGTGGGATATACACCTAAAGGTACGGTACATTATCACCCAATCTTTTAGAAACCATACTACTTTATTACGCAAAACGAAAAAAAAAAAACAGAAATACCTAAACTATAATTAAACATAATCTCGGGAGTGCTAGAGGATCATTAAATATCGTTTCCTAAAAGCATGGGATGACCGTACGCAAAATAATTTTTTTGAGTGTACATTTTAGTACTAAAGAATTATCAAACCTACACATGCGGCGTGCTAGAGGTGTTTAAAATCCGCTGCGTCGTTTGCACGTGTTACTTCTATGTAAACATATACTTATGCTGAACGGTTACACAAATACGCGCTTGCCAGTAATATATTGGCACGTGCACATTCATGTTGTGGTCGTGTTGAAACCAGTCTTAGTGATACAGGCGTTCGATTTGTTCTTTTTGTATGAGTGTTGATTGAGGCTATGCATTATAGATGAACACCATTACTTTGCTGTGATTTAAAGTGGGGCAATGCCTGAATTTTACTGTCAACAGGACCAGTAATACCCGTGCCACACGGACAACTCGAATCCCATTTAGAACGAATGACATTTGAACGATCGGCCAATGAGCGCGCGACGCCCTGAGCGTGGTGCGTTCCACGCGCGGCAGATCGCGAGCTCATTCGTCGATCACACGAATGTCATTCGTTGGAAATGGCAGTCGAGTTCCCGTGTGGCACGGGTTTAAGTGCCCTATTTAGTTGCCCTGCCTTGCGTCTTCTCCAAGTATTGAGGAAATAAATAAGAGATGTTTTTCTTTTGATGATTGCAGGTCCTAGAAGAAACGTCAACTGATACGTATTTTCTGTTGTTTCGCGCCGCTGTTCCCGTTAAAAAGAAATGTATCTCCGCAACAGTAAAGATTACTGACAAAACCAACAAAACCGCCACTCACATAATAATGATTTACGATACGCAAAAAAAGAAATAGTAAGTACATTACTACTCAGCTTAATAATAATTATAATAATAATAATTATTATTATTATAATAATATATTTATTGCAGGTGCTTTAATAATATTAATAATAATAATATTATTATTATTATTAATCATTTATTCATAAATGCCGCTCTCTCCAAGTGTGTTACTGGGGCCGATCAAAACCAGCAGGGGCTTGTGGGACCGGACCCCGCATTAAATATAAAACAAGTCGAAACTCGCACAGTCTCTCGTGCACAAAAGAAGACCCCGCAAAGAAAGACCCCAAACGTCGGAAATCGATCTACGAAGTTCGCTTTTTAGTTTCAAAACGAACAAGGCGTCTTTTATCGGTGGCGTCACTGACAATGATCTGCGCCTAAAGTATGATTCTTTGAAACTTGTGATCCTTCTCATGTTAAATGCTTTCATTCCCTCCGGGATGATCGCGGATGCTTTGAAGGGCGCACTAGTGAAGCCACTATTTCAAAGGAGAGAGCATAAAAAACTTGACAATTATCGACCGATTTCCATTTTGCCTTGCATTGAACAAATCTTAGAAAAACACATTTTCCAAACTATGACAGCCTTTCTTGATCGCTTTAGCATTATGTCGCCCAATCAATATGGATTTGTCAATGAGTGTGGGAGCCAGCCACTTCTGGAAGATTTTGCAGACGAATTGCATCCAGCCTTCGAGGGGCATCAGGTTGCTCGCGCGCTTTTTATTGATGTGGCAAAGGCATTTGATAGAGTGAGTCACAAGATTTTACTGACAAAATTGCAAATCGTTGGATTCCCGGGCCCTTTCCTTTTTCTCCTCCGGTACTTTTTAACTGGGAGGAAACAACAAGTTTCTATAAGTAATAGTCGAAGCTCCCGAGTTACCTTAAAAGCTGGTGTTCTGCTTTTTTATCACGTCTTCTATTTAACATTTTTGTAAACGATATGTTCAACTCAGTTTTAACACGCAAATTGTTCCCATACCCGGATGACACAGTGTTACTTTCGAAACATCTTAATTTTTCCGTAGAAATCACTTTAATCTAAGAGGACACTTGCAAACTTCATGACTGGTTAAGATAAAATGTCTTAGGATAAATACATCTTAAACTCAGCTTGTCTTTTTTCGTAATTTCCTTAAAAATTTAACGTCCGATCAACCTCTCTATTTGCATGCTTCGATTTGTATATCGTGTAATTGTTGTCCTATGTCTTATGGGGTTCATGTTAAATACTGAGAAAATCAATTCGACAACGTGATTTGTCGTGGAATTCCAATCTGTCAAAACTTTGTAATCGACTAAGAAACGCACATTGTTTACTGTACAATACCAGCTCTCTAATACCTAATTCAACGAAAAAGACAATAGCTCACGCTTTAGCGAACAGTGTTTTGGGCTACGGAATAACTATTTTTAGGCACAGGACCGGACGATGGGCAAAAACAAGTTGACTCAATCGAAAGAGCGTTCGGAGAAGGCAACTTCCGCAGTCAACTACGTCAGACAAAGGCAGCTTTAGATCTACCCACTAATCCTCCCAATCAGAACTCAGCGTTCTGAAGTCCCCGCACACTTTCGTCTCCTTCTCTTTCTCAGTTTCTCGGCGGATATGTTTTAAAATTAATTTGGTCGTAAATTATAATATTTACAGCGAGAATACCACAATACAAGTGAGAGCTCTGAATCAAGCTGACTACCCGCTTGAAAACGTTATAAGGGCCAACTTCAATGGTATGTATAAACTTTAACCACGCTTTAAAGGGGAGGGGGGCGGTGGGGATTATTGCCTGGTAGCATAAACCTTCGACCCTTCATTCAAATTTATTCAAATTTTCAGGACGAATTAAGTCCTATTAGGAATTATAAATTCCATAGTTTCAGCCTCTTACACCAATTATACAGCATCTTATGCTTCTCAAGCTCCAGAAAAGAAGTGACTTCATTAGGAAATGTGTTAAAGAAAAATTGTAATTTCAATCCAAAGAATTATATTTAATCTGAAGCAAAGTGCAAATAGTACTAGTTAAGGTAACTACAAATTGTACAAAAAACGGTAATTTTAGAAAAAAAATAACACCCTAAAATAAAAAATAAAATTCACAAAATGTTTATTGTGAAAGAGCTTTTTCTCTTAGATTGAGTACTTTATGATGATAATGCAATTAAATGCAACGGTGCAAGCGGTACCCGGATTAGGCGGAATTTTTCGGTCGCGCACCAGCTGTGTTCGGAGATTTGTGTTTGTCCTTTGTCCCTCTTTTTCCTCTTCCCCAGGGATTATTTTCGCCAGTGAGTACTTTAATTTGTTCTTTAGAAAATATTAGTTCAGGATACCCCTAAATTAAGGTTTTACGCTATGAGAACCTCAAATGATGACATTTCCAGCTAAAAAGTGAAACTGAGAAAAATGCATTTGAAGTTTCCACTTCAGGTTTCTCTAGTTTTTTTTAGTGTGAGGCTTACGAAATTCACCTGAAGCATAGGGGGACCTTCCTTTTTGAAACGTCCTTGTCCTCATAAACGAAGCAAGCTGACAGCTTGCTTTGTTTATAAGCAAGCTATCTTTGGTAGCAGGCATTCGTCTACAGATAAACTGCCGAGAACAAAGAGGCAAATGATACCAAAGAGCCGCAAAGTAGCAATCTGATTGGAATTTTAAGATGTCAACAGGTCAGTTTTAAAGATAATTAACACTTTATCACGTCACCGGGCAGGACCAATTGTAAGCCCTGTTTCGGGTCTCAAAAACGTGGGAAGGTGCGACAGGCTAAATCTAGATAAATAGGCGCTTCCAAGGAGGGTTAGATGTTCGGGCTATGTTACACGAGAACAAAATAGCCTAATTTAGAAAGTGCGAATTTCTTCCCTGATGCTTTGAAGGGCTGCCGACATGCCGAAAAAAAAGTATATATATATATGTATATATATATAGAGAGAGAGAGAGTGAGAGAGAATCAAAGAAAAGTAGGAGATCTTCTAAAAAACAGTTCTGCTTTTTTTTTAATTTGGTGACCTTTGAACTTGTGCTACTTTTCTGTCTAATCCTTTTCTTAATAAAGAATATTTTCAATGCACACTTGAAAAAAACATAGAACGAGGACCTACATTCATATGGTGAGGCTATCTATCGTTTCAATGTCACTTTTTAACTATGAAAATTCGTGCACCTTAGCCCGATTCTTTATATATATATATATATAAAGAGAGAGAGGCAGATTCTTCTAACTTAAATAGGTGAAACACGGTGTTGAGTAAATATTGGTTTAAATCTAAAAGGTTGGGTTGGATGACATACCGGACTACACAAAATTAACCAGTATGAGTAAATATTCAAACTCGCTTGCTTTGACTGGCCAATATTACAAATATTGCCAAACCATCGTGCTCATGTTTGCTCATTATCGGTTTGTGTAGGCTACATTTAACCATGTTAGGTTCATTGTTGCAACGTTCGGCCGATGTTTAAAGGCTGTCGTGAACCAAACCGAGCCCTGATTAACTCCCGCGTAAGAGATGATCTACCGAGGTTTTCAGGTCAACTCTAAGATACTGAAGCTCCCGCTACCACGAGAAGAAAGCTAGAATTTGGTTTTTAGGGGATACGCTCAGTGTGGGTCATACGGAAATAAATTTTACGAAGTAATGAATTTAAAAAAAGAAAGAAAACTCTCTTTACTAATACAAGCTTGGAAAACTTTCACCTCAACATTGGTGGCAGTAGAGTCGAAAACTTAATCGATTGAGGATTTCTACTCAGAGTAAGAGTGCTCCGAACATTAGGTAGGTTGTTGTAGTAAAGGTGGATTATATAAAGACAATCAATGCGGGTGTGTATTGGGTCCCCACGGGCAGGCATGGTTGTGGCTTTGAAGCGGCCAGACATGTGTCTGGTTGCAGTGGCCTAGCCAGAAAGGTTTATCTGTGGGGTGATGGCTCGGATGTCCATGACTTGGGGTGTGAGGGCAAGGCGAGGCGGAGGGGGTGCAAATATATCTGTGTATATTATAGGTCGGCTGAATTTTGAGGTGGGGGCAGGGGAGGCTTAAGCTCCGTAAGTTCTTAACCCTGGCAACGTCACAGCTAGGTGGCACCTGCTAATATCAGCCCATATTGGTGCCACTATCGTCGGAACTAGCTTTACTACAGAGCTGTAAAAGTTACTTATGACAGCTAATTAGATTACAGTTTCAGTTACCCTAGTTTAAATGGATTCAAGTTACAGTTACACACTTACAATTGTAACTCGTTAAAGTTTGTTTAAAAAAATTTAACTAAGTTGTACATCGCAGTTACTTCACTCTACTCTATACTTTTAGTTCAAAGAAAAACTATCTGCCTTGAACTGACATTTTGAACCCTGGAGAGTGGGGAAACAAAGTGGGGAAGCCATTGCTTGCACTCTGAGCTAAGTTTTTCTTCTAAAATTGTAGGGCGGGGAGTTGTTAAGTTTGTGCTAATGAACTCAACAAAGTTTTCTAGTGCTCACCGTTTGGGCACCGGTTTGGTAAAGCAGCTTCGTAGATTGTTCTTCGCGAACTACAGCAGGGCGTTCGTGTTTACGGTCATCCATCATTTGCTAAAAAAGTTCGAACTTACCGAAAGGTGTCGGAGTAGGGAAAAGTGCCGTAAGCTCCCAGAGATGCCCCACTTTTGAAAAATAATGCACGCTTATTTTTGGACGATTTGCTATTTTTATAAATCGCCGAGAAATAGCCCACTTAGTAATTGCAGGGTCTTGGCCTATCATGACCTCGGCCGAAATTGTGTTACCTAGACACGGCGAGAGATAAGCGAACGTCGCCGACTGGGAGGGAGAGTTGTCTTTTGTTCCTCGCCCCTCTATTGCATTACAGGTTTCGTAAATCCAAAAATCTAAAAATAACTATTTTTTCTTCAATTTTTTATTGATCGCACACCCAAACAGTTAGCCCACCTCTTATTTCACCCTATTTGCTTTTGACTTTAGGTGGGCTAACTCTGGGGATGTTATGGTAGGTTTTTTTTTTTTTGTTTGCCTCATTTTCACAGTGCTTCCAATAACCTCAAAGTGCTAGTGAAGACGTTTGGTGCGACAGCTGTGCGGCTCGACCGGCTTACACCTGTTTCGTCACAGAAGGCTGGTTGTAACAAGAATCAAAGACCCTCTTCTGAATTGCAATCTGGGTGTAGTTGGGAAACTTTCTGTGAAGTTCGGTTCTTGCTATGTGAGTCAGACGGCTAGATGTCTTAATGACAGGTTAACTGAACACAAACGAGCGCACAAAGACGAATCCGCACGTTCAGAATTAGCGAATCATCTCTCTTCATGTAGCAATTGTGTCGTTGTTTGGAGAAAATAGTGAAGTGCCCTACTGGGAAAGGGATTGTTACAAATGTTTAGTGAAAGAGTCATTGATATGATGGACAGGCATGCTATTTGTTTTACCAACATGTTTGTTTCTCTAGACATTCGCATGAAAGCGTTTCGTAATCTAAGACCTTTTCTTTCTTGTGGCTCTGTTAGAAGTTGGTTGACCTCATTATTTTTTGTTGTTGAGTGATCGTTCGGTGTTTAACTTTTACTTCGTCCTCAGTTGTTTGTGTTGGTATGAGGATGTAATCTATCATTTCTATTTTGCCGGATCTCGCTTGGACGTTGATATGTACTCTGGATACGAGTATCCTGCTTGGGTACGCGTGACATCATTGCTGTCATCCGTGTCTTCTTTTGATTTGTTCGTTTTTGTTTTGTTTTTTTCGTCTTGGTTTTGGTTTTTATTTAAGGCTGTGTTTCGTCATATAAACCTCAGCTGTGTGTGGAGAATCGTGTTGTCCTGTCCCTCCGTTTACCCGCTCTGCAGGGTTAAAGGCGTCAGTTCTTAACCAGCTCGCCTGCACCCTTGAATTTAAAATTTGTTCAGACCCGTTCCATCTGGATCGAGATACCCTGTCATTTTGTCATGCGCTGGAGAACAGATGCACCAAAAAAGCTTTAGCAGGTTACATTCACGATCATCTTACTCGTTGCATTTACTACAGTGCGGTTATATGTTAGCCTGTTTCAGACAATCGTCTCATGAATTTAATTACCGATAGTGTTAACCGTCTGCTTCAGTTCCAAAAGTGCTGCTCACCATATGTATTACTCAAAAATAACAAATTGTAGTGTGATGAAAAATCAACCCTGTAATGATTCAAATAATCTCAACGACAGGGGCTTCCGCAGATTTAAAGTGCTCGACGATGATGCTCAAAAGGGAAAATTCGGAAAGTAATTGTAACCAAGCCAAGTTACAAGTCACACAGAAATTACTAAGCTCCATTTATACCGCATGTAAGCTAACGCTTTTAAGGCACATTAGACGTCCCCGAAAAATCGGTTTCTCAATGTATCACACTGCGATTCACTCCAAAGGTGCAAGCATGTAGTGGACGGCTACAATGAAAAAATCAAGGAACAAACTTACCTTGTTCAATACAAAAAAAAAATGAAAGACGTTTACAAATCTCTATATTGAACTTAGGGCGCGGCTCTTGTAGGGGAGCAGGAGAGGGTACGGAGCGGAGTGTATGCCCCCCGTACCCTCCCCTCCCCCTCTCCTCCACCTCTCCTCCTCCTTTTCTCCTCCCTCACTCCCCTCCTCCACCTATGTACCCTCCCATCCTCCTCTTCCCACAGTTTTCCCGCTAAATTTAGCTGAAAAATTGACGCCACACTACTTCAACACCAGTTTATTTCCCACTCTAAATTTAGCGGGGAAAATGACCCCACATTACTTCGTGTCACATCACCCATAAACAAATTCAGTTTCTCCGCCAGATTTATCGGGTAAACTGACGTCACGTGACCTGAACACGAATCCAATTTTTCGCTAAATTTAGCGGGGTGGTTACACCGACGGCGACGTCCTATACGGGGAAACAGGCGCCAAAGAGCTGCGCTTAATGCGAAAGCATTAACTCTCCCTTGGAGCGAGCCTACGTCTTCGGCTTAGAAGCCGAGGACGTAGGCTCGCTGGCCAAACGCCTAGCCCCCCCCCCCGCCCCCCCCCCCCCATTCCCCCCCCCCCCCCCCCCGAAACGGTACCTAGGTTCCCCTAACCCAAAGGAGCGGAGTAAGCCTGATGATTTCGGCTATTTCTTTTCCTTTTAAACGACGTAACATCATTTATTGATTTTTTTTCGCTGTAAAATTCCACCACCCGCTTGCACCTCTTTAGAAAGTCGCAGCGCGATACGTTGAGAAACCGATTTTGCAGGCGGTCTATATTTAATTAAAAGCCTTAGTTTACATGATGTTGTTACAGACATTTTATTGTAACTTGAAAAAGTATTTAGTTAGAAAAAATTTAACCAACTACAGAAACTCAAATAGTTGTAATTAGTTTCTTCACTGCTTCGGTTCACTGTCAGGTCAGGATTACCGCGCAGCCCGGGAGGATTTCAGGTGCCTAATCGCCTAAACTATATCAAAAGTGCGTTAAATTGCTTTTGTACCCCCAAATCAGGAAAGCTCCCAAACGCTACTCCAGTTCCCCCAGGAAGCTACACGTACGCTGAGTATGATAACTCCACCTGCTATTCCAGAAGTACTCCCTTTCCTAATAAGGGTAAGTTCAGGTTTAATTCTCGACAAGCTTGGAGCTTGTTTCTGTTGGCGCTATATTCAATTTGAATTGCGAATATGATTTTTTCACTTAGGAAATGCTGTGAGTTCTTGGCAGGGTGCACGACACCATGGTGAATCTGCGAAGAATGTTCTAAATGATTTGTTCCCCTCTCCGGAAAGTGGTGACTATGCTGACATGTATGTCGTATACAACGAGCCGCAATGTTATATCCTTAGGAGTTCCGCAGCCGAAGGAGGTACGTGCATTAAAACTTTTAACACATTGTCTCGTTTTTCGCTAATTTAAATGATGAATATAGCAGCTACGGTTTGCTTTATAGCAGAAGAAGAAACAGCCAAATTAAGGTTACTTAAAACAGGAACCTTGAATTAAACCAGCTGTCCATGAGGCGTGTTACGAAGGATTTACTTTGCGATGCTTTTATTAGGATTCGCGCTTAGACGCGTCCCACATGTGTAAGATAAACCCTACTTTCCGCGGTATGTTCATTGCACAGAGGTCGTGTCTAAAGCCGTTGGTCATTTTCGATGCCTCGCAGGCTCTGATCCATGGGTATAGGTTAACCGAAACAGGGATACTATTGGTACTAAAGTTTTGTTTCAACTAAAAACGAGTGCTCCCAACATTGCCCAGTATCGCGCAATAACGATTGCAGAAGGTGACCTCGCAGGACTGTACTGAAATGTCTTGCAATGCAGGTGTCGTGTGGGATTTCAAATACATTCAGAATGTTAGTGCAACTTAATTTCAGTGTAAGTTCGTGCTAAGTGGGAAACTTGCAAGATAATTGAGAATGAGAGGTGGGCCCTAGTACAAAACAACAACGACACAATAGATGTTTTATGCATCGCTTGTGCAACAAATACCTAAAAGTGAATAGCCCACGTCAGCGATAATATGAAGATTTAATTTATGAAGAGAACACCTTGGGGGCATTCTCAGCCCCCCGGCGATCAAAAAATCTGCGTCTATTCTTGTATCACCATAGCTTGGCTAACGGCGAAGGCTACTTACTGCCCGAGTGAACCAATTAAAAGCGTCAGAACAAGACACGTGACAATACTCTATTTCACTAGTTATACGTGGTGGGAGCATCCCGCTAAGGTGAATTGTCGCATTACGGCCAAGAGTTCACTAGGGCCGAAAGGGGCGGAAAGGCCGGGAGTGGCTCTGAAGCAGTAGGGCGTAAGGGCCGAGAACTGCATTAAGGCCGATAGTCTTTGAATGGACTGGTGCGACAGCCTTACCGGGGGTCGCGTTGATGATGATAAAATACGTTTATTTTCTTTCATCATTAAAGCTCAGGCAATTTCTCTACGGCATGGCCTAAGAAAAAATTCAAAAAGTTTTACTTAGGCCCGTTTTCTCCAGGTAGGAAATGACGGATCTGAGCAGTTGAAGTCTTCTTCCGGAATTTCCTGCTGGTTTTATCCATTCACTAAGGTTTTTGGGCTTATCTTCGGGATCTATTGTTGCATGTGTATCCTAACTTTCTCTTCTGAAGTGTTTGCAGTCCCACAGGAGATGATCGATATTTGGTTGGATCTTTTCTTTACAAAAGTTACACTCTGGTGGCTTGGGTATGAATTTCGGGTCCTGTCTCAACTTTGCTTGTGTTTCCCATTTCTTGAGGAGGTGCGGGGTTATAGCACTTCCCGTCCTTACCCTTCTCAAGAGATTTGTTTGGTATCTTTTGAGACCAGAAGGGATAGGGTCCTGTTCTTCAGGATGCCTGTTTTGTAGTTGTTGCTGTAGCTGTTTCTTTGCCTTGTTTATGGTAGCTATAGGATCGTATTTTTTACTCAAACATTTTAATACAGTAGAGTACGGGTGATCTCGTTGAGATTGGCCTGGTCTGTCGGAAAAGAGGGAACGACTATACTCTTTCGCGACTTTGTTGGCAATCCGATTTCCCTTAATCCCCGTATGTCCCGGGATCCAACGCAGGAGTATCGTTGCATTCTTCCTCTTCAATGTTGTTATTGCCGCCTTTAGGACTTTTCGTATTGTCGTGCTTACCGCGAGGTGTACCTTACATACTCTAATAACCTCTGGTGAATCGGTAAAAATGGTTATTCTTTTCTTTTCTGTCGCGTTGTGGTTGACAACTTTAGTTTCCAGAAAATGAGATAGATGGCGCCACACTGAGCAAGGCGGATGAAACGCCATTCTCAGTGTCACAACTCAGACTTCATTTTTAGGCTTAATATATTTTCAATCTCGTCATTCTATATTGCTCCGAGCAGGATGCGGGAAACTAGACGTATGGGTATTTTTAAGGGTGTATCTGTCAGTCACTGCAAATACTGCGGTTTTGGGTTTGTTTCACGGCCGGCACCAGTCGGTACGCCGACCTTGCCTAGCCGAATTTGTTTATTTATTTATTTGCTTTTCTGCTCATTATCATTTCGTATTTGTTTGATCAGTAGTTGCTTCATCTTCATATTTTGATTATTACATGCACACACACACACACACGCATGCACGCACGCATGCACGCACGCGCACACGTATTTTCAAATGAATGCTATTAATTAGGGCGCCTTTCTGGTATAACATTCCCATATTCTAATAATCGACTTTATTAGCTATAATAATATAATATTATAGACATAATTATAATTATAAATTATAAAATAATAAACAAAACTATTTATAATACTATAATTGATAGGAGCTCAGTAAAAACGTTATTGCGTCTTTTCAATATTTAGCACTTCAACTAAATTAATAAAATGTCATTGTTCTACCGGGCGGCTGCGAAAAAGATGAGTGAGGTTTGAATTTAGGAATTTCATTTTCAATCTTTTTACCTCGAAACACTGAAGGGAACACATGCATGCAAGCTGTAAAATATTACAGACACATAAGCCATGTTAAGAAAAAAAAACCTGGCCGCCAAGTTTTTTTTTTTTTTTTTGACCAGCAGCCAGGACACTTCATCAAGGAAGGCGTTCATGTTGTCTGCGAACTGGTGCTGTAGGTTTCACATGTCTGTCACTCCCATTCCTGCTGCGGCGCTGATGCAGCTCCACTCTCGCGCCAGGTTCGTCTTTTGGGTGCAGATGGCGTCGATTGCCGCATACCTTGGCCTGCTCGTGTAAGGCACTTCTCCGTTGCGGAGACATGCCAAACACGTCTCCGTAAAGAATGAAGCAATAAAATAAAAAAAACGCTCTATTTGCCGTTGCAGAGAGGTATACGATGTGCACTGAAAAATAAAATAAACATCTGGCGCCATCTTTGCAATATGGTGGCCACTACGGTCGTCAACCACAACGCAACCCCCGAGGAGGCGGCCACACCAGCACATTCAAAGACTATCGACCTTAATGCAGTTGTCGGCAGTTATGCCCTATTCGGCCTCAAAGCCACTCCCGGCCCTTCCGGCCCTCTAGGCCTTAATGCACGCTCAGCCGTACCGGAACTATCGGCCGAATTGATAGTGGTGCTGTACGTAGTGCTGTCAAAGCCATGAGCGGTGTAGAAGAGAAATCCCCTTTTGGAAACATTTTGAGCGACGGGCGAATCCCCGAGGGGGAAAACAGCGACGTCTGGGACACACAAAAGTAGGGTTGGGGTTAAAAGGGAAGTTCCTTCTTCCTCTCCTCTCCGACTTCTCGAGTTACGCTCTCTCCCTTGTGTCCTTGTTAAGGACTGTCAGGTGTTTTACCACCGTCACTCTGATTGGCTCGAAGGTGCCGTAGTTTTCGCTCTTTGCCAAGCCAACGTGAAACGATACATACTAAAGTTTGTTCCTGGGCTTAGCGGACGATAGTCATCCACGTTTCGCACCGCCAGCCTGTTTTGCAGTTGTACCTTTAGCGTACCTCCGCACTTTGCATGTTCATTAAGTCCCAAAGATTATACAATTTAGTGGTCTTTAATGACCTACAGCAAGTTTCTAATAGGAAACATACGTCTCTTTCACTAACTAAAAGTTACCTAACAAGTTTTAGTCAATTGTCCGACTTATTGTGACAGCTATCCCACAATAATATGACCCCCTGATTTTACTCCTCATGTGCACACACAGCAGTTGTGTAATTTTCACGTCTTTTGGTATCACTTCAAATTAAAATGAAACACTATGTGTATTTATTAGGCATTGGCGAATGGAGAACTTTGGATCCGAATCGAATTCGAAGCGAATAGTGATTTTGGCCGAATAATTTCGAATCGAATAGTTCGAATAGTACAAGCAACAAATACCACAAGATGTTTTTAAACTATAGTTTTATATTTGTCCTTATTTGGTATTAGAAGTACTGTAATTGTTAATTTGAAGTGTATTGAGTTCGGGAGCACGAAATGGTCGGAAGCTTGCGCCACCTGGCTGGAAATCCAAGCCAGAGTAAGTCAAACCCATTTATTTCAAACTCGCAAAATGGGTCTTATAACGGGTAATTCGATATAAAAGTTTTAATGAATTTGACTCTCAAAAATCCACTTTCTGCTGAAATATTACACAGTGGAGTAGTCTTGCATCCACTGCTGTTTTTTCTTCATTGCATCCGCGATAACGATATTTTTCTACGGTATCGACGGACTCCAAAATGCTGAGGCCGCTGCCTTCTATATTCGCGCATTAGCGCCGAACTATGCCGAGAGCACGGAGTACGTCCGAGCAGGAGCACCTGCTGTTGCATTGCGCCGTTTTCCTCTGCAAGTTGGCTTTCCCCTAAGACAGGTTGCCGCGCTGGGGGAAGCACCCTAACAAAGCAAACTTTTTTTTTTTTTTCGTTGGCGGTTGCGTAACCACTCGGAAGAAAAAATAATATTCCCTTTAGCGGACGGAGCGGGAAGAGGTAGAGTTCCTGTATAGGCTCCCTACGGGAGCCAGAGTTGCGCATTTGTTTTCCCCGCGCCGCCACGCCGCTATTCGCCGAGATCCATCACGTGAGGAGCAAAGCATCCGTTTGCGTGCAAGAAAGCCACCTTTACGGTCGCTCCGCCGACGTTTCTCTTGCCCCGGCGTATGTTTCCCTGCTTTCCGCCTCCTTCTCCTCCTCTCCTGTTTTCCATGCGCGGCGGCGCGCGCGGCGCCGCTATTCGCCAAATTTAGTCACGTGAGGAGCAAAGCATCCATCTCGTGGGGGAAAGCCGGCGCTACGGCCACGCGCCGAGGCTGAATGCGCAACTCTTCTACCGTAGGTAGCATATACAGGAACTCGAGGAAGAGGGAGCACGGAGCGCCCTCTCCCCGCTCCCTCTGCAAAAGATGTTTTTTTTTCTTTCCTTCCAAACAATCAACGCGGCCGCCGGGAAAAAAAAAAAAAAAAAAAAGGAAGCCAGTGTGCTCTGCAAGCTGGCTTTTCCCCAATGCGCCCGCTTGCGTTGGGGGAAAGCCAGCTTGCAAAGCAAAACGGCGCTCTTGGCAGTTCGATATATCGGTAGCGGCTGCTTATTTTGTTCGATGTAACCATAGTTTTTACTATATGTTATCACTGTAACATTAATGTGCACTAAAATTGTTCCATGTAAGGAATAATTCGATGTAAACGGGTTCGATATCTTCGGGTTTGACTGTATTTAGTAAGGTCGAATAATTCTATAGAGTCGAATAATTCGATATTGTCGAATACTTAAATTCGATTCGAAGCGAATGCCAAATAGAACAGAATTCAATTGGCTATTCGTAATAACCGAATATTCTCCCATCCCTAGTATATACCACATTTTCAAAACGGTCTGAGAGCGTGGTAGAAGTTCAGCTTTCTAGTTACTTCAAATAAATATTGAATTAATCGCAACAAGGTTTTGTTAAGTCCAAAAGTGTTGAAATTAACTTAGCAGACTATTTGAGTGACGTTGGCTCCATTGGTTGCCTACTATGGGCAGGTCGACGCCATTTATTTTCACTTAACCAAAGCGTTTAGCCTTGTGCATCATGATCAATGTGTGCCCGAGCTATCGGAATATGAGGTGTGGTTACCGGTGTGCTCGTGGTTTTATCATAACTTTCCTGGCGCATCAACAACGCTCATGTTAACGGTGTGTTATGTAGATCATAGATATCATCTTGCGTTCCTCAGGGTTGTATTCTAGGACCCTTGCCGTTTAACATTTTTCCTGTAATGTCCCCTTTAGTATTTCCTTCGATTCGTTGATTATATTAAGATGTTAGACGGACCAAGTCACAGGTTGATTGTGAGCTGCTGCAAGACAAATCTGCTATCTCATCGTGATGAGCAACAAAAAATTACGTCGAAACATTAAAAGACACGTTTTGTTTTTGTCACGGAAGAAATATGCTCTTAATTTATTTCTATAAACAAGACAATCAACCATAGCGACGTGAATATTTCATACATGACTTAGGAGTTTATATTGATCCATCCCTCAGTTCTATCATCTGTCGAATTCGGTTAGTTCTTGATTGTGGCTTTTAGGTTTGTGTTCGCGTAAACCTGTTATTTTAAAGAGATTTCATGCCACGTCAGGCTTTATATATATATTGTTCATTCCATACTAGAGTTTTGTTCTGTACTTTGGAACTGTCTAGGATCAACGAGCCCTGCTAGCCCAGAACGTGTGCACAGAAAGTTGGCACAAATAGAGTACGATTCTTATTACTGCACCCGGTTCTTCAGTAGCTACGCGTCAATGTTACTTCGGTTGAACTGGCCAATACTGGCGCCGGAATTTTCGAGAGTATGCATTTTTGTCTAAACTGCACATAACAGAATACATTGCCTTGGCTTATTTTCTTTGCTTTCACTATATGGCTCTTCCGTGATTAGCTCTAACTATAAAACAAAATTATTCAATGTCTAATCTTGCCTCTCTCTTTCAAGAAAAATTGATACCCATTCAATGAGATATTCGTATCTTATTTAATTTTTTTGGCGTGTGGTGAAATGGCTCGAGTCTGGGGCTAAAAGACGTAACAAAAAAACACTATGCTTACCTTAATTTTGTTTACTTTAGTAACGACATGATTAACGAAAGCAAAAAAGAACACGCAAAAAATAGAAACAAAAACATACATGCAGAGAGTCCCTTGCTTTTGCACGTTTGAGTGCCTCCACAGTCTCCCAAAACTGTCCGTACCATGTTCGCAATTGATTGGTATTTTGTCGATTTTATAGGATGCGACTTGTGGCTGAGAAAGACCGAGTTGAAAAAAATAGTGGATGACCTGGAAGATGAACTTATAACAAAAAAAGAGGAAATCTATAAGAAGAATAAGGAAGAATTGGGAATCGACGAAAACTGCACTGCGACAGATGATCAAAAAGAAGACCTAGAACGTTACGTAGAAGATGACTTTGAAACCTTGTTGCACGATGTCGTATGGGAACGGATTTCCCTCGACTGCGTTCTCGCCTTCATGATAAACTGTGGAACGCCATTATATAGAGTTTCCGATCCGATAACCTGTAATACCACACTAACAGGGCAAAACGTGTCAATTCATTAGAATTCACACGAGTGATTCTCAATTGCATGTCGGATGGTGAGGAAAAGCCGTGTGTACGCAGACTTGACATTTAAAAAAAAAAAATCTGTCACTGTGTAGTGTCTTGCATCCTTGGAAATAAAGTGAATTGGGGAAACCAATGATTTCATTTCGTTCTCAGTGCAAACAAAACAAAAACGTACAGGGCCTTCCAGCTAACTTGCGCCAAGACTTAAAAAGACCATGAAGGCATTTTTTTTTTTTTTTTAAGAATGTGTTTTCGGAAGCATTGGGGTCCTGGCATGCCACACAATTTTTTCAAGAACGTTGTGATTCTTATTTTCGTACCTGCAAATAAATTTGGGAAACCGAAACAACCATTCAGATTTCTTCCCTTTTTTCGCCTCTGGAAAGAGAAGTGACGTCAGGGAGCACTGTCGGCATCGGTAGGATTTAGCGCACACTCAGTGTGGTTCCCGTGGTTCGCTCTAGTGCACGGCGCTCTGTAAAGAAAACCTGGAATAAATGGACGACAACCCCGCGCTCGCAAACGAGTTTGAGCTCCCGTTCAGCGACTTCACGCCGACTGAACAGGAGATGCTGCTAAGGACGCAGAACTCTGGATTGGCGACCGATGCAGCAATGCTGCGCATTGCTGCATCGGTCGGCAGTTTCTGCAAACTAACGTTGCCGATCGACCGCACGTCTTTAGCCGACCATTCGCGCAACCTACTACTGCCCATAAAAGCGACATGATTGGTGAGACACCAGTTCGCAAAGCGAACACGAGACGACGCACGAAACCAAAACCAAAAGTCCGCTGCCCCGGCGCTCGTACCTCTTTTTCTTTTTTTTGTCCATTGTTGCTCGATGCTTGTTACGCGCCCGAGGTAGCAGTGCGGGATGATTTCAACCAGTGACAAACGGAGGGATCGCTTCATATTATGCTTTTATACACGGTATGAAACCTATTAATTCCCAACTACGACTTCAAAACATTATCCAACGTTCAAATAAACTTTTTTCATCACATCTCACACACCGAAATCGAAACCAAGACCGCGTCTATCGTTTGAACCAATCGCCAGACGAGGAGCCCGCTGTCGTGACGCTTCGACGGCGCACTTTAGTTCACCTTTCTGCCTCCGCCTCGGTGGGGTCTCAGGCATCGTTCCGGCGCTATTATTACCGCGCCTGTTTGCTCGATTGGTGCGGCCCCAAAACTTTTGTTCGGGCTAGAACTTGGTCAACAGTATCTGAGACCTGCCCGACATCCATTTCAATCGTCGAATAAAACTTCGAAACTGCCTTCATGGACCCTTTAAAAAAAATGTGGTGCGCGCGACGCGTTTTAAGCGAAGGCAGGATTGTTCAATTGAGCAAGTCAGGTCACTTTTTTTAATGGGCCAAGCTCGCTAATGAATGTAAATGAAGTAGCCGAGTTTTTAAATATTTTCTGCGCATCCTTTCAACGAAATGGTTGTAGGGCGTGTGGAAAACCATCCGATCGTTTTGTTTTCATTCCATTCGTGCCTAATGTTTTCAAGCGTTAAAGGATGCATGGGATTTTTTTAAAACTATTATTCTAGGCAACTAAGGGCGTTCACACTGCAGTTCGCCAGTCACTAGTTAAGTACGACATTTTAAATTTCGTTCGAGATCTTTAAGCTTTTTTAAGGCTAAAAAAATTAGACAAACAACAGGACTATGAACGATACTGCATTGGTTCAACAAGCGCGCACCAGCTTTTTTTTAATTCTCGGCCCAAGTAAAACACCCCCTATACAGGGTTGCTTATCCGTCCATACCGCCGGACGCCTTCCTCCCGCGACGGGTAGAGGAAGCCAAAGAACCTTGTGGTGTCCCGGACTACAACCCTAAATCGGTTTGAGAACCGGGCTTGACTCTTGCTCCTTTGCTCACCGACCTCCCCTACTGGCACAAAACCTTTTTTCTGATAAAAAGAAGACGTTTACAACTCTCTGTAACAAATAATTAGAACCCAGCTCTTGAGCGGGAGGAAGGTATGCCCCTCCTTCTCCGTACCCTCTCCTCCTCCCCTCCTCTCCTTCACCATTTCCTCTCCTTATCCTCCCTCTCCCGTCCTCTATCGTGCTTCCTCTTCTTCCTCTTATCCTCCTCCCCCTCCTCCTTCTCCTCCTTCCCCTCCCTTCCTCCCCTCCCTCCTTCCTTGTGACGTCACTCGTGACCCTAGTGACCCTCGAGACGTCTCTCGTGAAGGTCGTGACCTTCACGTGACCTTCATTGTGGAGGTCGTGACCTTTGTCGGGACCTTCATGAGGGGATCCGGACATTTCGGTGTCGGACGTTTCGGAATAGGGCGTTTCGGTGCGGTCTTTTCGGTGCACGGACTTTTCTGTGCACGAACTGTTGGGTGCACGTACTTTTCGGTGCACGGACCTTTCGGTGGACGGATTTACGGTGCACGGCCTTTTCAGTGTAAGAGCTTCGGTGTATAGACATTTCGTGCACGGATTTTTCTGTGCATGGACAATTCGGTGTAAATATGTGCCTCGATTTATCTTTAGGATTACAATTGAATTTTTATATCTGAAACTGCATTTTACTTTTTTTTAACAGCTTGCAAACTCTCCAATGAGAACAACTCTCAATTCTAAAGCAACGTTCTGGGCTCATTGTTTTCTTTTCCCGGTTGTGGCCAGAGAACTCTAAGAACTACAAATTAGCACTAAAACCTTTATTGTTTTATTATTATTAAAAGTGCAAACATGAAACCATGCCTGGCTTGAGAACAAGGCAATGATCAAGCTTCTACAATAAAAAAAGCGGAGTTGCTCAGCAAACATTTTGCGCCAGTAGCTCGATGGTTCATATTGCTAATATGGTTCCCTAGAATTCTCTGAAAGGCAACACCTGACAAACTCACACAAACTACTGTCGCTACATAAACCATATATAAAACTAATTTTGCATGTCCTTGTGGGTGACCTTGTCAACTCGCCGAAAGTCAATCCATCGAAGAATACTCGAAGGCCAATTTTTTAAATAAGCCATATGGTCATTGGACAATTTGCGGAGCGAGAAACTCGTCGGAAAGGCCCACTTGCCCCAGGACAATTTGTTGGGCTCTTGGGGTAGAGTTCGACATGAAATCGCTCTTTCATTATCGGCCTTGCTTATCATTTTCCCGTCAAGTTCTTTTTTTTTTCAACTTGTCTGGAGAGTTTGACGGAGTCGATACTGCATACAAATCTGCAAACAAAATATTTAAAATTCAGATTTATTTATATGCTTATTGGTTCCTTGGACGATTTGTAACCAAATCGATAATCTGCCAATATTAAAAAAAAAAAGAAGTGAGGGCTAATTTAGTTTGGATTTTGTTTGCTGGCCATGAAGTGCACGAGTACGGTAACTTGAGCACTCAAACTCTTCGCTGCGCCGTAAAACATGAAGGATATAATGTGGAGCTGTATGTGCAATCTAGGTTACGTGGAGAATTTTCATCGCCCAAATTTAGAAGATGTTGCGGATCTCATAACTGACTGCTAGGGCTTTCTCTCGTCCATCAAGGATCGAATAAAGCTTCGGTTGGAGTTAGTTGGTTCATATCGAATAAAAGGTGATGAGCGATAAATGAGCGATAAGAATTTTTATTAGTTGTATGTATTTAGGTGATTGGGATTGGGTTTGAGGATGGTTCGTGTTTCAATAAATCAGTTGGAAGTTGGCGCCTGTCCGTGTTGTAAGTGTGTTTTTTTTCGTCCTGTTTGCTCGCGCCTTTTAACCTTTTAGTCCATCAAGGTACTGCAAGAAGGATGAGTTTCAACGGCAGCCGAGTTAGAAGAAGGGATATTACACCTTTCGTCAAGATATCTAGTGAAATATGTTGATTCTATGCAGCATAAGTTTTAAACATCAACATGTGCTTTTATTTCGTCGAACTAGTTATAGAAATCTGTCCTTCAAAGCAAAACATGCTTGTCAGTGGGGCCACGCTGACACATTTCATACATTTCGCAGACATATAATACAACCTTGTCCATTTACGAAAACTTGTCAAAAATATCTAAAAAGCTACATTACGGGCAACGCCCCAGAGGAATCGCCCGTCCTGCTTGCGGTCGTAGTCCCTTTAAAGCGTCTGCAAGCGCTCCGCAGCCTTGTCATATTTTTGAATAGCTTGAACCGGCGGCTCATTTCCAGTTTCCCAAGCCGGTGCAGCTGCAGGCAGTCCTCCCTCTGCAGCCCCTCCAGAAACCTCCATAGTGGCAGGTGGGGGCACTGCAGGTGGGCATGAAACCCCTGGTGCCAAGCCTTTACTAAGTTCGTGGTCTTGGGGTCGCCCTGTACAGCGGTCTCGTGGTGGTTTCATAGTTACACCGAGAACTGGGTGTCTCGCCTTCCTCGAGCTGTCGGCCGGCCTATTAAAACATCTCGAAGTACTCCAGTACCGGGAGCAACTACGTGCGGATGGTTGTCGCCAGTTCGGCGAACACGACCACCACGTCTTTCCGGTGGACAATTGATAGAGCTGGGACCATCCTAGCCTCCAAGTTAATCTGGGAATCAAACGCATACAAGTCCTGTAGTCCTTCCGACTGAATCCTACGGTACACGCACTGCGATACGTGAAAAAGCACCGACGGACTTTACAGTTTGGAAACACCTTCCCGAACGGATTGCTGGCCGCAAGTTCATAATCAACAATTATTGTCGTGGGGTTGCAGACACCACCGCACTCACCGTTGAGGGCGGAAGGTGCTCGGTTGTACTAGTGCGGTATTTTCGCTTAAGCTGCATCTACGCCGCGGGCAGGACAGATCTACAATCATCACAGTGCAGGCTGTACACCTGAAAAAAATAACTCCGGCGCCACCTTAAAGCTGCATTCACATGGCCGCCAAATTCCGAGAACAATGTCCGCAGACCTGCGAAATATGCGTATCACGTGGCTTCGACGTCACAACGGACAAGTCCGGGGACATGCGAATTAATACGGCATGGTCGCCGTGAAACAAGGCGAG